AATTTGTATTTTTGGGTGAACTTTCCTTTTAGCTTCCTTGTAAAATTCTATAACCATGACTTGTTAATTTGGTCATCAGAGTAATTTAGTTTAATAAAGTCAATCTTATGTGCAAGCAAAGTAACTGACACATGAATTGTTATTCCTTCGATCAGGTTTACATTTATTGACGGGTACAGTAAATATTCAAACTTAAATTTACTTTCAGCTTCTGCCTCAAATAAAAACGTTTAAGTTTTAATTTGTACGCGATGTAAGGCAAGTCATTTATTTTTAAATGACAATCTTATTTGATAAGGTTTAATATTTTTAAACTATATGAGGCTCAAAGATAAAGGTTTGAAATAAAGGTATCCTTTAGAAAAATATGATCCACAAGGTCAAAAACAGCTGGATGATAGAAGCCGTCTCCAGATGTGACAGTTTTCATGCGTTGAACTCCTAATTAAGCAGTTCTTTCTCCTGTTTTATGTCTCAGAAAGGAATCAGTTTCTGCTGGCGTATAAACCGTTTGTTGGACCTTGTAATCCTTGCTTTTTTGTAAGCACCTATAAATGAATAAAAACAGCTCAGCCTGTTGCTTTACAAAACATGTTGAGGCCATAATATACTTGCTGAACATGAAAATCTCACTACTCACCCAATTTCTTATTCGCAAACTCCACAGCTGCACCTTGGCTCGCACCCCTTTTCTTTTTGAGGGACAGAAGCTCTGCATCTGAAGATAAATATACACCCAAATATTTAGCATTTTCAGTTGGTCTACAAAATCTGGTAAAAAGAAAGGTCAACGCATGAACTTACTGGTTGTTCTATTGGTTCCTGATCCATAAAGGCGGGACTGAACGAAGTCCATGGCCCTTTGTTGCAGTGACTTGGCAGCAGATTCATCCTTTATCCTCATTACTCTGTAGCTGACTGGTAAACTGAAATCAGACATATTTTCCATATCTACACTTGGAACCCTTTCAGTGTGATGAATGTAAACATACTATTATTATTACCTTTTTGAGGTTTTCTTAGGCGTGGTCCCGGTCTCCTGTTCCTTATCTATAAAAGAGTTGTTTGCCATTCAATACTTTGACCAACAGAGAAAAAATGTCTAACGTTAGAGAAAATTACAAGGTTAGAGATTGTTTTACCTTTATTGTTGTGTGATGGCTTTGGTGATACCTTCTTGTTAATACCTTTATTGTCTGATGGATCTGTCTGTCTAAAATGAAGGAATAACAATCTATTAAGTTTCCAAAATGATTTAAGGAATCGAATTGTTTCTGTTCAGCTGGGGAACCTACTTTTGGGGTTCTGCATCAAATTCCTCCAAGAGCTCTTGAGGAAGACGTTTTCTCTTCTGAAAAACAAGAGATATAACATTTCACGACATTTTTCCTAATGCTAAATATACAACTTATTGTGAATTACGTTAAAGTGCATACACTTTTGTTGATAATAATAATAATAATGTAGTAGACATCCTGAGGACAGTATTCACCACCCTGTACCTTTTGTTCTTGAAACAACTGTTGTCTCTTTCTTCGCTTCTCCTTCAACAGGTTCTTTTCTCTGAAAACAAAGTGAAAAACAAAAATGTTTACACCGCATGTGCTCGGTGTCTGAAGCCAGAGGACTCCCTCACAGACCTTTTGGCTGCGTCCAGTGCATCTTTAACGCTCTTCAGAGCGGCACTTTTGGACTCATCAAAGGCGAGCTCCTCTGGGAGTTCATCATCACTGGATTCAAACTGAGCCTGTGTCAGTTCAGACATTGTGTCAGTCTCTTTAAACGTATTCAACCTGATTTTAGTACACACGCTGGACGGGACTCGCCATATTAAAAAACCAACAACACTTAACGTACATTAAAGACAGGCAGGCTAACTCAAAAGTACTGGCAGCAATAGAAGCTGCCATCTGGTGGTCCGGATGTCTCAGCCAGATCTGCTCGTAAACAAACTGATGCAAATGGCGTAGTTTATAATAACAGCACACACTGAAAATATAAAGATGTCTGTTTTGTCATATGATCTATATGCAACACATTCTTTTAATGCACAGATGTACGTATTGTTCATCATTTCTAAATGAAGAACAAAAAGAGAAAACACAAATAACATTTATTGTTGTTACCTCCATATAAACTTACGATACTGATCGTTCAAATTGTGTGCCATTATTGTGGTGAAAATGTATGGTTCCTTACAACAAAAATGTAAATAATACATTAAACAGGCGAATATTATACACATTAATAATACATTTATTATTATTATATTGATCATTCAAAATGCTCATTGTTATTACGGTGAAAGCTTATGGTTCGTTACAACAGAAAGAAATGTAATGCAAATGATACGTTTTTAAATATTATAATTATTAAACAATTATATAAATGTTATTAGGAATACATTTTAGTATTAAAACGTGATCTTAATATTTTTTCAGATAATGGAAAATATTTATATGTGTTTGACATAGGGTTGGATATATCTGACCAATCGGTGTTTCTGACGTGTTTGTGACATGGATGCTGCTGGTGCATTTTGGCATTTGGATTTTAGGCACCAGCGCAGACGCTTTCTGCTAAATCCTCTACTCCACTCACAGGCCTTTGAATAGCTGTGTAAACAATTAAATCTCATGTGATTATAGCTTTGCACCAACAGGCATGTCAGGCTTTGTCGTTTTTGCTCTAGCATTCTCGTTGTCCGCGACGGGGCCTTGTCTGGGCTTTCCTCCGTCCGGAGCGGCAGCGCCGCAGCCCTGTGTCGCGCCGTTACAGTGGGAGGGTCGGACCGTTGAATATGATCACGGGACGGGACGAAACACACGGGCGGCGGTCTCCTATGATGCACAGAATCAGCGAATTAGGGTCCTGGAGCAGAAGACTGGACACACACCATGCAAAAAGTAAGAATCCATCAAATGTTATGAAATAGATTTGAATAAAAAAAAAAAAAAGTAAACTCCGTGTGCTATTTTTATGTTGTTTTCTAAATATCTAAAAAAAAAAATTATTTAAATTTAGTTGAGAATCAAAACTAATAGAATTTATAAAGTCTTTGTTTCCTAAAATATATATCAAAATAAACTATTATCATCATAATCATTATTACACCAACTATATTTAAAAAATAAACTTAATTCAAAGAGAAAACGTTTTTTTTCTTACTCCACAGATATTTTGTCTTGTTTTTAAGCTTAAAGTCTTTCCGTTTTGATTCTGAAAACAAGTCATTTTACTTCTCAGGTAAATGTATCCTGATTTCATGTTTAGATATTTGTATAGGAAAACTAGATAGACCGAGTAGGAAATTAGTATTATTATTATCAGTAGTAGTAGAAGTAGTAGTGTAAGTAAATTTTATTTTATGTTTATAGGCCAAATCTGCTTGACATCTTGAGCCATTGTTCACCATTGTGTAGATGCAAATGATTTATTATTGTCAAAATTAGAATGGCCACACACAACTGAATCACTATAACTGACTGAATTGTATTAAAAAAGCATGCAAAAATTGCTTGAATTAAAAGTATTTGCATTGTGCAATTGTCTTTGAGGTTCTTTGAGTACATCTACTTGTTCAAGAGTGGAGTGCTTTTCCAAATTGAAGAAATTACTAAGCAGTGTGCAAAGATCGCTCTGACGGAGGCCTGGGACCCTTATGATATTCCCCTGAACTCCACTTATGAGGACCAGTATTTCATTGGAGGACCTGGAGACATGATCGAGGTCCAAGAATGGTCTGATCGGAAACCAGCTCGCAAAAGTATGCTTATTATAAGTATGTTTATACAGGACCTGTAATGTGGTCCTGATTTGCATGGACAGAACTTTGCACATTTTTTCTGTCTTTCACAGATGAAGCTTGGGTTGGTGTGTACACTTTGAAGGACTGCTATCCCGTGCAGGAGACATACACCAAAAACAGTAGCGTGACCACGTCCACTCGCTTCTTTGACCTTCAGCTGGGCATTAGTGACCCTGGGGTGTTCGACCCACCCAGTACCTGCCAATCAGCTCTGACTGCGAAGATGACGTCTGACTGCTGAATACGTTTCTCTGCATTACATGCACAATATACATTAACCATAATACAGTAGGCTTAAATAAACAGCTTCTAAATAAATGATATTACACTGAGAAAGAGCACATGAAATGAGTGCAGGTACTGTTAAATATAATAGTTCTTGTTGATTTACAGTGGGAAATGTGCCTCACATAGTATTGAAGCATCATTTTTAATATGCCACATTTTGGGCAAATTACAAGTTGTGCTGATCCAGGGTGGAATAATGTAACACTTAATTTTTTGTTTGATGGTTAATGTGCTGTTTATCTTATTATTTTATTGAGCCTTTAAGATGATTTACAGTGTGGATGCTTACAGTTAATTTCAAGTGTTAAAGAAACTTCTAGAATTTTAATTTGATTTCAATAAAATTGTTTACCTCACGACCTCCGCTGTTGAGCAAATTAATGTAACAATATATACATTTTTAAGACAATAAATCAAGGATGTTTTGCATAGAGAAAGATTTCAGCAAAATAGCTGTAGTTGAGTACATCTTTTAATTAAAATTTTATTTAAAATAAAGACCTGGCTATATATAGTGGGTATAGAAAAGAATCATCCACCTTTTAAATAATCACTTTTCGTTGCTTTGCAGCCTGAAATGAAGATGGACACAGTTTTTGTTTTATCCAGCTTGAAGGTGTGTTTTGACATTATAAAAAGACACGAGTTAACGTAATGTTTGATACAAGAATACAGTGACTCAAAAACTAAACTGACTTCACACATCAACTAAAATGACCTTCACTCTGGTTGTTTAAATGTCAAAAATGACTCTGAAAACTTAGTTTGTTCTGAGAGAAGCTCTAGCATCATTTGTTTGTAGATTCCACTTAGTTTTAATTTCTTTCTAATTCGACGAAATTAAAAATATTTAGACTTTTAGGGCTATTTACTGGATGGTGTATAACTGTATATTTTGAATGAATTACAGTCGAACAGTGAATAGGCCTGACGCAGTTCCGGATTGTACTACATATCCCAGAATTCCCTTTCCAAAACAACATCAACCTATTTCCTGTATGACTGAAACTAAAGTCATTTTATGGTGCGGAATTTTTAACGACACCGGTAGATCCTCACCGATTTATTGGTTGACTGTAATACAAGGCGTACTTTTATAGGATTGCACAGCACGGTAAGCGACATGATCGATAGCGCACATTTATTTGGATAAACCAATGCTAATATGACAAGAAATGAACCAGTGATGTTCTGTAAATTGACACGATGTAATCAGATAGGTTTTCATAAGAGATTGTGAGTGTAGGATTGTTCATTTCGTTTGTTACCATTTTAGTTAGCATGATAGACATTTGTGGTGTGTAATTATGAATTACACTGTGTTTAAAATTTTGTGAAAATCGCGCTGCTTTTCCTGCTATACCGCTGTATTATCATCATGCTAGCCCCAAAAAATTGGTTTGGCAGAGCTCTGAAATAACCACTTTACAGCATAAACAAAAATGAGTTTGAGATAATTACGTTGTATACTTCAATCTTCCATATTATAAAAGGAACTAGGTCCATTTTGTATCAGCATATCAGCTAGAGTCATGGCAGCAATGAAGTCAAATGTCCCATACAAGTTATTATTATCAGTAAGGATAGTCCAGAATAAAATGAATTACACGAAGTGAACTGACTTTTTGCTGTATGTCTTTTTAGGGTAAGCAAATATCCTGCCTAGTGTAATTAAGTCTGCCTTATAGAGTGATATGCAAACTATGCAGTCCATAAGGCATGAGAATTCCTGTGCTGGTTGTTTTTCGGTAAATGACATCAGTAAGAGGAACTTGTCCCAATAACCAAACAGACAGTTACTGTTCTCTTAAACTCTTGCCTGTCTTTAAAATGTTTTTGCAGTGCTTCCTGATAAGACTGGCTGGACTACATTTTCATGCTGTATTACTATAATTAAGCCTAGGTACTGTTCACTTACCACAACAGTCCTCGCAACTGTGATCAAAATTGAATTATAGCAAGCTTTGTTGATTTTAGCAGGATTAATCCACTTAGCTTTGTAATTCTCAAGTGACATGATGTAAAACAAGTTAGAACATTATCTTTTCATCATGATTTTACATTATCCTGTTTATTACACAACAACTTCATGAGTAAATAATCTATGGACCCAAAATATGAATTTAAGTTGAAATTATTATTCAAAGTTACTTATCAGGGTTTCCTGAACAAGCGGTTGGTTATACATTGTTGTCATGGGCAGCGGGTTATTATTCCACATATTTTACTGCTGAATGCTTTGTTTGATCAGAATCAAGTATTCCAAAGAGGCGTGTAATGGAGGGCAACAGTTCCCACCTACTTTTTCAGCAGCCTAGGTTCTGAAGTATTTTTCCGATTCATATTTCCCCATAGTTCTCTGTTAAAGCATTATAAGCCAACCAGCTGCGAGGAGAAATGCAACTTTACAAACTTTGATTTGATGCCAAAATATTTGAAAATTGGACAAAAAGACAAGACTGTCTGCTTAATGATTTTAATTAAAACAACAGATGAATATAAAAATATTGATTTAAAGATGTCAATTGTGTATATAGAAAAAAACATTTAACAATTATTTCAAAATAAAGTGTTCTTTTGGTGTAATTTGGTGTTTCGATTCTCTGATTGGTGGAGATTTCTTGCAAAATCATGGGTAATGTCGTTTTTCACCTAGAATTCTGCTGTTAACATGCTTATTTAAAAATAAGTTGATATAATGCAGACTGGTAGCTTCAACAAAAGCATGTATCCTACATTCAACAATATTGTAACTCACAGTAGGTCTGCCTTTTAAAGTTACAAAAATTATTGTTAAAAATCAATTCCCCTATGAATAAAATGAATGTGATTTTTGTTTCTGTAACCCAGTTTCTGCACTCTGTTTCATCACTTCTTTCTTTGTGTGTGTGTGTGTGTGTGTGTGTGTGCAGGGCTGGGTATCGAGTTCGATACTTTTTAGGCACCGACTGAATTGCCTCGTTACCATTGAGTATCGAAAAACATCTCGTCGTTCGGTACCAAATTTCAATACCTAAGGGTTTAATCTCATCAGCGTCAGTGAGCCAAAAGCCTGCAGCACTAGCCGGTTTGTTCGACTAGAAGAGGTGCAGCGCAGATCGATCAGTGTTTGACATCCGCAAGAGCGATTCGAAAGCGCACGGAGCAGTCTGCTCTCTTTAGCTCTCGTGGTACTGTAATACACCGATCGGTCTGCACAGTCGGTCCGCGTCAAGTCAAACACACCTACTAGTTTACACCAGTTACACTCAGAGATGTGGAGCACACGTGAGGCTGTAGTGCGTCCCAGCCCCCTTAGATGTAATCTACATTTACACTGGTGCGTTTGTTTTAAAATGAAAATGATCCTCGTCATATTGGCGTTTCCACTGCTTTTCAAGCCGGCTTTCCACTATCTCCGACAAGCGACAGACCGGTCATTTAGTCATTCATTTCCAATGGAGAGTAGCGCGGGAGCTGCGTGGAGTTCCGATCATATGCAGATGTCCGTTCATACTAACGTTACACGACCGAAAGCACGTGTTATGTGACCATTCATGCAAACTGTAGCATCATGCTACATAAGACAATAAATAAGATTTATATTCCGCTTCTACTCAAAACTCACTTTAAACCACCATCGAGTGTTTGTAATAACTTCCGATTGCCCTCTAATGTGTGTTTTGGCCATGTAATGTTGCTGAAATTAAATATGTTATTACCTCTGAGTCAGAGCAGCGATCATGGAAGAGAGAACACAAGCAGACAGCGCTGGAAGCTGCTAATGCTCATCAGTAAATCAGTGGAAAATAAATAGAAATCATGATTCTGTCTGAGCTATGCGTTTTAAAACGAACACGCACTTGTTTAAATGTAGCCTAACAGATGTGTAAACTGAAGACTACTTGAGCTTTATTAAAACTATTTGAGCAATGGTTCAGGAGATGAGTCTTTGAGATTGTATAAACATCAACAAGCTGAACAATAAAACCAAAGTTTTTTTTTATTTTTTTTTAGATAATGTAATTTTGTTGAAATTGATTTCATAAAATTGGTATCGAAAAAAGTATTGTTCAGGAACCGGTATCGAAGTCAAGGTATTGATATCGAAAATTTTTGAACGATACCCAGCCCTGTGTGTGTGTGTGTGTGTGTGTTGGGTATATCCACTCAGTGACCGTACAGAATGTTTGGTGGTTTTGTTGATTTTTAGACATCACAAAGTCCTGATCAAAGGACAGTAATAACTATAAACCTTTGATCGCTGTGTAAAATGCCTCCACTTTGCATGTATTTCAGAACTAGGCATGACTACAGAGTCTGACTCTCCAAAAGAGTGAGTGTGAATGGAGTGACACGAGTGGACGGTACTGACGAGTCATGGACAGCCAATGCAGCAGCAGTGTGGGCAACATTAACTCAACACCCATTTCTGCCCGTATCGAGTCCTATGAAGGAGAGAAGAAGTGCATCTCTGATGTCCGAAGAACATTTTGCTTGTTTGTGACCTTTGACCTTTTGTTTGTCACCTTGCTGTGGATCATTGAGCTCAACGTATGTTGTAGTAATACATTTCCACAAGATATTATTAATAATGTGAAGTTCTTAACATCTTTTAAATATATGTGAAAAACACCAGTGTAATACTGATTTAGTTGCACTGCATTTTGTTTGAATGCATATATACGTTTTTTAATTTTTTGTTTATCTTTATCCAGGTCAATGGAGGAATACAAGAGCAGCTGAGAAAAGAGGTGTTGGATTATGATTACCACGATTCTTTTTTTGACATATTTGTAAGTACTGGCTTATACAATACCCTCTATTTCAGAAATATGACCTTAAAATTTGAGAAAGAATTTCAAGTAAATATTTTAGGTCAGATGAGTTTGGCTGAGAAAAAAGTTTGGGAATTCCTAACCTATTGCACAAGAAAATAGGACCTGCTTTTTAAGATATATTACATTTTGATACTTTAGCAGGGAAATCACCAGCATTTAAAGGTGTGAATAATGATGAAACTGGTGGTGGTAAAATATTAGGGCCAGTCCATCCCACAGTTCCCTTTTCAAGGATGACTCTTCTCACTTAACATATGACCTCACTTACGCTCTTTCAACCACAGTTTCTGCCCAGGAAAACTTAGGCCTGGTTTCACAGACAGGGCTTAGATTAAGCCAGGATTAGGCCTTAGTTAAACTGGGACATTTAAGTGGTTTTTTAAAAATGTACTTTAGAAAAAACATTACTGGTGTGCATCTTGATACAAATCACTGGCACATATTTTAAGGCATGTCAGTGCAAGTTGCTTTCAGTCAAGACAGCGCAATCATGCATTTTAGTCTAGGACTAGGGCTAAGCCTTGTTTGTGAATCCGGGCATTAATGATCTAAAAGGGATAGTTCACCCAAAAATTAAAATGTTATAATCATTTACTCGATGTCGTTCCAAATGTGTATGACTTCTTTTCTCCTGTGGAACAGAGAGGAATATATTCTGAAGAATGTTTTGTGCATATACTGTAAGTCAGTGGCGTACAAAATAACAAAGAACCTTACTGACTTTCACTGTATGACATTTTTCAAAGTATCTTCTTTATCAAAGAAGGAAAGCCTTACAGGTTTGGAACAACATGCGGGTGAGGACATGATGATAGAATTGAACTATTAAACCCTTCTATCGCGGGGTCACATGCTTATAAAGTGGTTTGTTTCATTGATATACACATCTAGTTGTTCTTTGGTGCACTGAAATGAGAGTTTAAAAAATGTTGTTTTTAAATGTTTAAATGTGAGAGTTGCTGTTCCTGAGTGTGATGCTGGGTTGAAAAAAAAAAAAAAAAAAAGCATGTTCTTGTTACTATTTTTTTAAGACCAGTCTGTATTGGGGAAATTAGCCCGTGTAGACTTTGCCCTGTAAGCTGTTGTGTGGTCTAGATTTATACTAATACACAGTAATGCAATTTTTTTAAAAATGCTACCTCACCGCATTCTTTAAACTAAAGTTTTAATGTAACAAATCGTTTATGAAATGTTGATAAACCAGTCCTGAAAGATTGATTACATACACTACCATACGAAAGTTTTCAGACTTTAATGGTCACCAAGGCTGCAAAAATACAGTAACATTGTAAAATATTATTACAATTTGTGACCCTGGACCACAAAACCAGTCTCAAGTCGCTTGGGTATATTTTTAGCAATAGCCAAAAATACATTATATGGGTCAAAATGATCGATTTTTCTTTTATGCCAAAAATCATTAGGATATTAAGTAAAGATGATGTTCCATGCAGATATTTTGTAAATTTCCTACCGTAAATATATCAAAACTTAATTTTTGATTAGTAATATGCATTGCTATTGCGATTTTTCTCAATATTTAGATTTTTTTTGCACCCTCAGATTCCAGATTTTCAAATAGTTGTATTTCGGCCAAATATTGTCCTATCCTAACAAACCATACATCAATGGAAAGCTTATTTATCCAGCTTTCAGATGATGTATAAATCTCAATTTCAAAAACTTGACCCTTATGACTGGTTTTGTGGTCCATGGTCACATTTAAAATGTTTTCTGTTTTTGTATATTTTTAAAATTTTATTTGTTCCGGTGATGGCAAAGCTGAATTTTCAGCAGCCTTAAGTGTCACAAGATCCTCCCTTCAGTGGTCAAGAAACCAGAAACCAGAAAGAAAGATATTTCTTATTATCAATGTTGTATATATGGAAGCAAAGGATAATGCTAGTGTATGAATGTTTGTCTCCTCAGCTCTTGGCTGTGTTCCGCTTTGCAGCCTTGATTCTGGCCTATGCAGTGTGTAAGCTGCGCCATTGGTGGGCCATTGCGGTAAGTGGCTAAATACTTTATATTTCTCCATCCTCCACTAGAGGGCATTGTTGCTTTACTATAAATTATTTTTAATAATTTGCGGGATTTTTCTTAGTCCAGTTCTTATCATGAGTTGCTCGATTAAAATAATTCGACTAAGCTTCACTTAAACGTATAACTCTATGGTTTTAAAAGTTGTGTATATTAATGTAATGATCATCATATCTCTACATTTCTTCATTACAGATAACTACAGCAATTACAACTGGTTTTTTAATAGTGAAAGTAGTTGTATCAAAGGTATGAGATGTTTTTTATTAGAGATTTATAATTTTTTTGCATGGACCCAAAATGTTGTTCTGTTGTCCAGCTTCTGTCACAGGGAGCGTTTGGGTATTTGTTGCCCATTGTCTCCTTCATTCTGGCATGGATAGAGACGTGGCTGCTGGACTTCAAAGTCCTGCCCCAGGAGGCTGGTGATGAAATCAGTGAGAATCTATTATCTAATTACAGTGAGACGAGAAACAGTAGTCATAACAATGATCACTAAAGGCTAATGGACATAGATGACATTATAACTTATGCTGATTGGGATTCATTTGCTCGTACAGTATGTCAGTATCGTGGTGTTTAGCTAACACGTGTGTCCTGTGTGATAGGGCATCTTTCAGTGCAAAATGCACTAGATCGAGAACCTCTTTTATACCCAGGACCTGTTTCAGAAGGCCAGTTCTACTCTCCTCCTGAATCCATGGCAGGTAATAAATGACTAACTGTTCAATACTAGCAGAACAAGCATGGAAATGGTTCTCAGAGCCACATGGAAACCTACAGTCATGTCTTTTATAAGTTGTAATAACTTGTTCTGTCTGGTTCATTGATTAAACGATTAGTGACTTTGCAACATTTTGTGGATGATTATGTATTGTTTATTTTTTTTGTTTGTTACATTTTTTTGTAGTCATTGTTTATTTAAACCGGTCATGGTTACAAACGAGGGATATAATGCTCTCACCACGTTTATACAACATTAACGGACACATATTTTCCAGGAAATGCCACTGTTAGAGCTCAGGTGCACTGCGGTGAGCGGTTTGAGATATTCAAGGAAAAATTTATTTAGAGGTGTTGCAGCTGTATTAAAGAGCTTTGCGAAAATATACCGTTTCCTATTAATAAATTGTAGATTTTGCGCCATTATAATTTTACATGTAACATGTAATACACACTAAAGTTGATTAATTGTATGGCAAATATCATATATTAAGTTGGGTGTCCACCTCAGAGATAATCACCATATTTATAATAACACCATCATATTTAAAAATATGATATTAATCATATCATATAATACAATATTGTATTTATTGTTACTACTGTAAGATTACATTCAATTATTATGGGTTCTCCTTCAGTGCTTCCGGGAATCTTTATTATTATTATTGTTTTTTTTATTATTCTGGACTATGAATATTTTAATGACAGTGTATTTATTAAACAAAAATAAATTATTTTATTTATCAAAATAAACAGAAAACAGCACAAACTTTGCTAAAATGATTGTTTTGAACAACTATTACCTTGGATACTATTCAAAACTATTCTAAACATATTACTTTAGTTAAAGTATTTGTATAAATACTTTGAGCCTTTTGCCCCATGCTGGGGATCCTTTTTACCACCTGTGGTGAAAAGCCCACCTTGCCTCCTTATACAGTTGTAAGATGTTTTTTATGACCACTTAAACCACTTTTCTGATATATTTTCACTCAAAATCTGTTCCAAAATCTACCCCATATATATACACAAAGAGAGACACACACTGTTCAAAAGTTTGGAGTCAGTATTTTTTTTTTCTTTTTCAAACTGCAAAGGCCGGAATCAAGGCTGCAAAACACAGCCAAGAGCTGAGGAGAAAAGCATTCATATACAACTGTTATCTTTTACACACACACACATATATATATATATATATATATATATATAGCTTATACACTAATGTTCACAGTTTGAGTTCAGTAAGTAACAGTTTGGGGTAAGATTAAAAAAAAAAAAAAAAAAATACTTTTAGCAAGGATGCATTAAACTGATCAAAAGTGACAGTAAAACATTTATAATCTTCCAAACAAAATCATTAAAGAATCCTGAAAAAATCTTCAGTAGATCTCTAGATTTGCTCATTTACAGTATTTCTAGTTTGACAGCTTTTTAGTTTAGTTTTGTTTGTGCTTCTCTATTCATTCTTTGCACTTCTTGATAATTGAATCAGCGGTGTCCAGTCCGTTGTGAGCAACCAAACTCTTTTTGACATTGCTACACTATGTGTCCCTTTTGTATTTTATGCATTCATTTTAAATGATCGCACATGTCTATATCTATGCCTTTGTATGCTTTAGATTCGCAAACTAAAAAAAGATCACTTTACTGTGCTGATTTTTTTTTTAGAAAGATGTTCATCTTAGTAAACAGCGCTTTTAAATAGAATGAATACTTACTCTTAACGTTTATATATATATTTATTTTTTCATTTTTCAATATTTCAGTTTTTCAGTTGTTGCTTAGAAAAGCATCATAAACAACAGATTTATGTGTACTTTATTAATAGGAAAAAATTGAAAGCTTGAATATTTTTATGAATATTGCATACATTTCGGCTTGTTTGTCGTGTGCAAACAACAGCCATGTTCTGTTTGCGAACATTGATGTTAATCACACTAATATGATCTTTTGCTTCTGTAGACTCTGATGAAGACCTTGATGATAAACATGATCTTGAGAAACCCATCGTCTAGCAGGTATTAATATTAATAATATTAATATGAATAGTTATTTTATAAAATGTTCCTCCGTTCATATAATCTAAATAATGTAAATAATAGGTTGTTATTTTGCTTTTTTATTAGGAGCTCAGATTAAACACTGACTTTCAGAGTACAACTCTTCCAGCGCTGCTCGACCTCGCACCGTGTGTCTTAATATGGGTTTTTGTACATGGGTGACCAGAACTAGACAGTCACTCTGCCTTAGATCTACTATCACCGTGATCAGCAGTGTGTTTATCTGTCTCGATCTGTGGTTACCTATGGTTTATGCAGTATGGATTGAAAAAAATGAAGGATTTTAATGTGTATTTTGAACTTAACCATCAAATGATATCACTGTTGAACACGACATTTAGCTTGTTTTCACATGACACTCTTCAGCTGCTTCTGTGTAACAAAACGACTGCCGTCTCACGTTTATGCTAGAAGCTCCATATGTGTATTAACTCTGATCTCGCATACATCACTGGAGAGGACCTAAATGTGAATAGCAGTATAGTCTCAGGTCTGCACTGCTACTCATCAGTGTGTGAAGATTTCATGTTTTTCCCATCGGTTTTATTTTTTTAATGCGTTTTCTGCCAGTCTGTGAGTTTTTGGAATGAACAGAGAGATGATAGAGGCTTGATTTACTTGTAAAATAAAGGACTTGCCTAGTTTTGCATGAAATGCACTTAAATGAAGAAATATATGACTTGTAATGATGCATGGATTTGTTATGTTTTTTTGGCTCCACTTCAGGAAGCATTCATAAATCATATTATTTAAGTAAGTGAAATCTACTTCCTGTTGAGTTTACTTGTGCCATGCTTACTTAATAAGGGCTTATGTGCCTGGTGCAGGTCTGGGACCTCCGCTTTTCTTAAATTAATTTGAGAATCTCCATACAGTATGTACATATCACAAAGCCTCAAGTATGCCAGATGATGGCAGATTGTATTCTTCTTTCGTTATGCATTAAAACAATTACTGCTTTTATTAAATGTGAGTCTTTATGCATGCGTTTCTACAGCCTGAAAGCAAGGGGAGCGGAAACCCCTGCTGAGAGTCAGTTTGTGCTCTCACGGATAGTGCAACCTCCTCGCCCACAAATAACAGCTTAGATTAACAAGACAAACACCCTGCAGCCGCTAATAAATTATCAGCCAATCATACTGAGGTTAAACGGCTGCATGTTTTCTTTCCAGTAAGCGCCTCCGCCTGTGGTGTGTACATACCCAACCACATTTTCCTACCGCAGCAGTTTCAGTCACCATCGTGATGTTTTCACATTCATGTCAAGGGTTTGGATCTTTAAACGTAAATTAATGCTTTGAACAGATACAAGAAATGCTCTTTTTAATCTTAGTAAACCATATAGAGACGTAAAGTGTTATTCAGTTTTAGTACATTTTAAATAGAAAAATTGGTAACACTTTACAATAAGGTTCCATTAGTTTAATATATTAACTAAAATGAACTAACAATGAACAATACATTTGTTACAGTATTTATTAATCTTTGTTCATGTTAGTTAATGAAAATACATTTATTCATTGCTAGTTCACAGTGCATTAACTAATGTTAACAAATAAAACTTTTGATTTTAATAATGTATTAGTAAATGTTAAAATTAACATGAACTAAGATCAAATAAATGCTGTAGAAGTATTGTTCATGCTTAGTTCATGTTAACTAATACAGTTAACAGGATCAGCAAACACTATAGTGCATGAAATTCATTGATTCAGTGTTTAGCAGATGGCTTTTATATCATAAAAACTTGTGGCTTGTGGTTTCAGATTAAAGCAGCCTGCTGAGTTTTTGTACAGTGTGTTAATATTTATTACTACTGTGCTGCCTGAGACCCAGCAGGCACAGTAATACACCGCTGAATGCTCATTTTTCAGTTGAGGTATTTTCAGAGCCAAATTTGACGGTTTCCTATCTATTTTAAATGATTCAAAACCAGCATCATTGTTTGTGGCTCCACCTGAAATTGATGAATATAATATTCTTCTTAAGGTTTGTCCCTCTTTTAGTTGATACCAGTGAATGTAGCCACTGCAGTCTGATGGAAAATTACAGTCTATAACAACTGTCTTGTCCACAGATTTGGTCAATGAGATTTTCTGTTGCATTTTCACATTTCCATCCACTGCAAAAAATAAAAAAATAACAATCAGACTTGACTTAAAAACAGTATGTTGCCCTAGGTAAGATATAATAGCTGATATAAATATCATGTTAATGTGTATAACTTGAAAATTATAACAGAGAAAATAATGGTATATTGAAAACTTCAAAATGAGAAGACTCACCTTTACATAAAAGGTAAATGAGAAACAAAAAATATAACTGCATTTGAAGACTCATGATGGCAGAGCGTGTCTGGAGAGCTTCTGTCTTCATTCTGGGATGAGGGGAGGTCATATGGGAGGTTTATGATATTAAGTTTCCGGCCTTCATGCTAATCTGAGTTTGTTTTGTGGTTCATGATTCAAATGTGACAGATTCTACAGCATCTAGTCTGTGCTTTAGTATTACACACCTACTGTTAACTAATGAAACATTGTAAAGCGTTACTGGAAAATTTTAAATTTTAGGCAGTAATTTAGCAGACATTAATAGTCAAGTTTAGTATTATTATTATTATTATAGTATTTTTATGATGTTGATATGAATTATTGGCACCTAATTAAATTCTTATCTGATACATACCGTATTTTATTGGTATTTTGATTTATTGATAACGTCTAGGATAAAATGCATAAAGGCAATCATCTTTTTATATGATCATTTCATTTGTATTTTTAAGATAACCTCATACAAGCATGATTTATTAAAAGAGTTTCATTATTCAGAATTGAAAAAGTGCATTTATAGAGAATTCCTTTTATTACACATCTAAAAATAAAATTTCATTTATTTTATGAGCAGATTTTATTCTGAGAATGCAAAAAAAACAAAAAACAGAATACAATGGAAAAACAAAACACATTTTAAATTTGGGTACATTACACATTTTAAAAAATCTAAATATTGCATTTCAAAGATGCAAATATAAATTGTGCAAAGCAGATCTACAACGAATTTAAAAGCAATACGGTTAAGCAGAGATAATATATAGATATGCATCTATGCTTTAGTCAGCGAAATGTGCTTTATATAATAAACCTTTGCTTGCTTGATATTTATCTTATCTTAGCATTAATTCTCTAAGAGCTTTCGTCTTTCTTTCTTCCAGCTTTTCTCTTTAATAGAAAGATAGACACAGCACAAAAATATATTCCGTTCTTCATGAGCATGACACCATATGCGTAGATGAACAGGAACATACTGGGTATTTGCTCTGAATCTCCTGTAAAAAAAAAAAAAAAGGTTAAATGCATTTATGAAAAACATTTATATGTTAATAATTATATTCATACTATATATAGGTACCACGCATAACATATCTGCATAAATTATGTTTTCGATCATGTGAATTAACCCCTTTAGTCTGTGCTTTAGTATTACACAAATATAAAATGAGCATAGGTGGTTTTAATGTTTTTGAAAGTAGTCTCTTATGCTCACCAAGACTTGACTGATCAAAAATACATTAAAATTAGTAACATTTTGAAATGTTTTAACAACTTAAAATAACTGTTTTCTATTTTAAACTAATTTTTTTCCTGTGATGGCAAAGCTTAATTTTCAGCAGCCATTACCGCAGTGTCACATGATACTTCAGAAATGTTTCTAATGGACATTTCACTGAAAATAATAAGAAATGTTTATTGTGCAGCAAATTGGTATATTAGAATGATTTCTGAAGGATCATGTGACACCGAAGACTTCAGTAATGACTGCTGAAAATTCAGCTTTGACAAAACAGGAATAAATTACATTTTGAAACAGATTAATATAGAAAAGAGTTATTTTAAATCGCACTCTCAAAAATAGAGGTACAAAAGTTGTCACTGGAGTGTTAGCACCCTTTCAAAAGGTACTAAGTACCTTTTAGGGACTAATCAGGTGTACCAATATGGACCCTTTAGGTACAAAGGTGTAACTTTTGAAAAAGTACCACTCCATTGACAGCTTTTGTACCATTTTTCTTCACAGAAATACTGTATTTACTTTATTTTTGATCAAATAAATGCAGCCTTGGAGAGCATAAGAGACTTCTTTCAAAAACATAAAAAAATTTAGATTTATGTCAGTGTACATAAAGTCTTGTCCAAAAACCTAATATGCTACTTACAAACAAAACGATTGGTAATAGATCTGACTTCCTTGTACACAATGTGGCACTTTCTCTGAAAAAAAAAGAAAATGAGCTTTGAGCAGCTTAGATGGCATGGGGACAGTGAACCCTATTTCTGAACAGAACGACATCAGAACCCAATTTCTCTTTTCAGGTTTTCATATTCAGTATCAGTTGATTTTTGTCTATTACCTTTTGCACTTGCAAATTATAAAGTTTGACATCTAATAGCACTTTAAAATTGTCATAATATATTTTGACATCAACTGCATATGGGTAACAAATGGGAGGGTGTTTCCCATCCTTATGCTAATCTGAGTTTGTATTGAGGTTCATGAAGGATGGCAGCTCAGGCTCAGAGCCGTTTTTCACGAACAGTAAGCTGAATCTGGTTACATTGTTTATTTCTGGAAAAAATAAAAGTGAAATTCCCATGTAATGTAAACATTTACATTTATGCATTTGGCAGTCACAGCTTACATTGCATTCATACATTTGATCATTTCATGTATTCCCTGATTCAAACTCATTGGTGTTATTAGCACCATGCTCTACTGTTTGAGCTACAGTAGTATATTTATATAAAGTTTAGAGACAAGTTTGTGGTTTCTGATAAAGACAGGAACCCTGCAGTTTTTGTGCAAAGCTTCAGTCTTTATATTTACTGTGCTGACTGAGCTCCAGACCCAACAAGCACAGTAATACATCGCTGAATGCTCTTTTTTCAGCTTGGTGATTTTCAAAACAAAATGATTTAATTCTTTCTTTTCTGATTTGATGGACTCATCACCAGCATCATTCACTTTTGTGGACCCATCATCAATGTCAGCATACAGAATTCTCTTGAGTGTTTCTCGATCCTTTTGTTGATACCAGTGGATGTAAAATCTGCAGTCTGAAGAGAAGTGACAGTCTATAATGGCTAACTTTTCCTCTGCTTTGGTCAGTGAGATTTTCTGTTGCAGCGATGCAAATATAAATTGTGCAAAGCAGATCTACAACGAATTTAAAAGCAATACGGTTAAGCAGAGATAATATATAGATATGCATCTATGCTTTAGTCAGCGAAATGTGCTTTATATAATAAACCTTTGCTTGCTTGATATTTATCTTATCTTAGCATTAATTCTCTAAGAGCTTTCGTCTTTCTTTCTTCCAGCTTTTCTCTTTAATAGAAAGATAGACACAGCACAAAAATATATTCCGTTCTTCATGAGCATGACACCATATGCGTAGATGAACAGGAACATACTGGGTATTTGCTCTGAATCTCCTGTAAAAAAAAAAAAAAAGGTTAAATGCATTTATGAAAAACATTTATATGTTAATAATTGTATTCATACTATATATAGGTACCACGCATAACATATCTGCATAAATTATGTTTTCGATCATGTGAATTAACCCCTTAACTGTCACTCACATTTTTGAACATAGACCTGAAAGTGCACGAACCAAACTTACATTTTTATAATTCATGAACGAAAACATTTTGTAACATGATATTGATGTACCATTTTCATGGTAATGCAATGTTTGATTTTAAAATGGGTTTCAAAGGATGAATTTTGAGATGTAAAGTTTTCAGTTGATATATAATTTTTGATAATTTCTAAAGTGTGAACAAAGAAGACTTTTTTTGACAAGGGTCAGAACTCCTGTTATGTTGCAGATTTTTGAGATGCACTCTTGTCAAAAATTAATCTATTACTTTTCCTACATAATTTTTAACAGTGTCACATGATACTTCAGAAATGTTTCTAATGGACATTTCACTGAAAATAATAAGAAATGTTTATTGTGCAGCAAATTGGTATATTAGAATGATTTCTGAAGGATCATGTGACACCGAAGACTTCAGTAATGACTGCTGAAAATTCAGCTTTGACAAAACAGGAATAAATTACATTTTGAAACAGATTAATATAGAAAAGAGTTATTTTAAATCGCACTCTCAAAAATAGAGGTACAAAAGTTGTCACTGGAGTGTTAGCACCCTTTCAAAAGGTACTAAGTACCTTTTAGGGACTAATCAGGTGTACCAATATGGACCCTTTAGGTACAAAGGTGTAACTTTTGAAAAAGTACCACTCCATTGACAGCTTTTGTACCATTTTTCTTCACAGAAATACTGTATTTACTTTATTTTTGATCAAATAAATGCAGCCTTGGAGAGCATAAGAGACTTCTTTCAAAAACATAAAAAAATTTAGATTTATGTCAGTGTACATAAAGTCTTGTCCAAAAACCTAATATGCTACTTACAAACAAAACGATTGGTAATAGATCTGACTTCCTTGTACACAATGTGGCACTTTCTCTGAAAAAAAAAGAAAATGAGCTTTGAGCAGCTTAGATGGCATGGGGACAGTGAACCCTATTTCTGAACAGAACGACATCAGAACCCAATTTCTCTTTTCAGGTTTTCATATTCAGTATCAGTTGATTTTTGTCTATTACCTTTTGCACTTGCAAATTATAAAGTTTGACATCTAATAGCACTTTAAAATTGTCATAATATATTTTGACATCAACTGCATATGGGTAACAAATGGGAGGGTGTTTCCCATCCTTATGCTAATCTGAGTTTGTATTGAGGTTCATGAAGGATGGCAGCTCAGGCTCAGAGCCGTTTTTCACGAACAGTAAGCTGAATCTGGTTACATTGTTTATTTCTGGAAAAAATAAAAGTGAAATTCCCATGTAATGTAAACATTTACATTTATGCATTTGGCAGTCACAGCTTACATTGCATTCATACATTTGATCATTTCATGTATTCCCTGATTCAAACTCATTGGTGTTATTAGCACCATGCTCTACTGTTTGAGCTACAGTAGTATATTTATATAAAGTTTAGAGACAAGTTTGTGGTTTCTGATAAAGACAGGAACCCTGCAGTTTTTGTGCAAAGCTTCAGTCTTTATATTTACTGTGCTGACTGAGCTCCAGACCCAACAAGCACAGTAATACATCGCTGAATGCTCTTTTTTCAGCTTGGTGATTTTCAAAACAAAATGATTTAATTCTTTCTTTTCTGATTTGATGGACTCATCACCAGCATCATTCACTTTTGTGGACCCATCATCAATGTCAGCATACAGAATTCTCTTGAGTGTTTCTCGATCCTTTTGTTGATACCAGTGGATGTAAAATCTGCAGTCTGAAGAGAAGTGACAGTCTATAATGGCTAACTTTTCCTCTGCTTTGGTCAGTGAGATTTTCTGTTGCAGC